TTGGGGGGGGGGGGGGGGGGGGGGGTCAGAAAAAATAGATGGCGGTGTGTGTGTGTGTGTGTGTGTGTGTGTGTGTGAAGCATCATTCTTACTTTCTGCACCACTTCTAACTGACCTACGAAGCTACCCCTCCCCCATCCCCCGTTCCCGGCTCAAAAGCTTTTCTGTGTTCAGCGCGTGTGTATGCATCCCTTGCCTATTGTCTATTTCTAGAGCGTGAAATATTTATCGTCGCCCCCGGGAGTGTAGATACATCGTACGTAAGAACTAGGGCTTGTTAAACACGTGTAAATAAATATCACCCCAGGGTATATGCACAAGTGCCATATATATAGGCCAACCTCTCATATCAGACGTACAGTTTGAAATTTAGAGATGCACCTCACCTCATCTCTCCGTGGCCCCCACAGAATTATATACCACTCTGTTCTGTCGCATGAAGAAGTTCAGTCGATACAGAAGCTATGACAAAGAAGCTGACACTGCGGTAACGGGATCTTCGTCTTGGTCTGTGAAAGAAACCACACTATCCTCACTATATATATGTATCTGTTTACTGCATTAAACTGCCAAGCAATTTACGAGACATTCCAGTCTGAAGTAGCATCTTTCGTCCATTTGGGGCTTTATTTGGTGCATGTTGACAGCAGCTATAATGATCACGTTTACTTGACACCTACCTGATATTGCAGATATTCCACTGGCTATATTCGCTCGATGTATATTAACGGCGTATTAACACGGCACGTAGCGTGAATAATAACGATTTGACCTATTTCTCCCATTGCTGTTTTCTTCTGTGGGCGCAGGTGGTAGATGAAGATTATCTGAGACTGTAGTTAATTAATTAGATTGCATCGCCTGTTCGCCAGAAACACTATCGTTTCAACACTGAGTTTTTTTTTTTTTTAAGATCCAGGAGGAGTACAGAAACTTTTATTATTTATACAGAGGACAGGGCCGTAGCCTCCNACAAAGGTGTACTGTTTTTAGCCAACTCAGTTCATGCCAAAAAGCTCACCCCCCTTAGGAAATGAAGTCCAATTGGCGTGTTGTGTTGAAAAAATGACTGTACTTATGGCAAAATGAACCCACAATTTCTGACTTCTGATTGAGCAATAAATAACAGTTAAAATGCACCAGAATGCAGTATTATACATACAGTTTTTAAACATTTTCCACACCGTGGGAGGGGGACACCCCCTCCCCTCTCTGGGGCTTTGCCCCCTCGTGTCCGTTTACTGCCCCCCTGGCATTTTGCTTAGGCTACGGCCCTGGAGGATGTTGCCATGCATGTAGGCTACTTAGAGCAGACTTACATGCAGATGTATGCGTTTAAACAGTTTCTCATTTATAAAGAAATCCTACCTTCCGAGATTTTAATATTTGCTTCCTTAACTTCAGACCTATTCCCAGATCATATTCATTCCATAATTTTAATACCTCCTTTTAAAGAGAAACTGTTTATCGCGTTAAGTGTAGGCCTAACATCCTGGAATATTGGACTATTTGGCTAGTAGCCTATTTGTTCAAGAAAATATTTCCTAGATACGCCAAAATAAAATTTCCTGGGGTTATAAGCAGTTTTTTCCTACTCCCGAACCATTTCTTCACTCAACCTTACACTTTGATACTATTTTATTCCATTTTAATGGAGTCATTTTCATAAACTGGTTTGTTTGGTGGGCCTTAGCATAGTTTCCAGTCATAGTATACATAAACGCTAGGACATAATATAAGCATTATGTCCAAGATAAACGTGAAACCGTGGGAGGAGAATTGCGGCAGCGCTGAACCGGCAAATGTGTTAGGTGTGACGGTATGTATAAATCGAACATCCGTGACCTATTTCTACCCACACCGACTATCACAGCCAAGCGGAGAAGCACCTGAAACTAAATTAACTCGTTTAGAGAATAAAACTAGCAGCATTCGGCGACTAGAACAGCCAGAGATCTGTACCGTTTCATCTGTTGTCCAGTCGGGGTTATTCTGGCGCTAGCGGGCCGCGCCAAAGATGAGTATTTTCGTGGCGAGCCTGTGGGTGTTGGTGGTGATTTGTGTTGTGTTGTTTCTATACACGCGTTCAGACACCACTGCATCGGGGGATGCGTCGTTTAGAAGTTTTCAGCTCACCTATCTCGTGGTCTACATGCTGGCTATGGGTGAGTATTGAGAAATAGCTGGATCTTTAGTTTTTAAGCTTCCGCAATGTGACAGTTAATGAGTGTATGTGTGTGTGTGTGAGAGAGAGAGAGAGAGAGGGGGGGGAGGGCAGCAGAAATGCTTATTTTTTGAAAAAAGTTATTCCATAAAGCAGTCCCAGATAATTTCACGGTTCAGTAAATGAAGTGTGAATAATCATCCTGTCACAGTCGTAGCCAGATTTCTTAAACTGATAACTTTGATTACTCGATCCCTCTGTGTGCATGGGTGCTTGATTCTTTTCTTTTGGATCTTGAACTGTTAAGATCTAGATGAAGTAAGCAGGTTACTGGTACTAGATTCTTTATTTACCTCGTATTTTATCTTGCCAGATAATAAGATAATTATGCATGCAAGTGAACAATATGAAAAACAGGTAAAAATGGCCCAGAGCCAGTGCATATTCCATTGCATTAAAATGTTGGTATATCATTTTTTTTATGGATATGAAAATGTATAATATATGAGAGCTTGCCCTTAGGTAATGCATTTGAATAACACACTGATGGGGGTCTCATACGCAATAACATTATATGTATAACAACTTTAATACTACCAGTTCGTGGCATTCTTTACCTAAATCAAAGCTGAATTGAAAGACTTGATCATAAATCATAGTGTATGGTTGGGTTTGTGGCAAAAGTTTGACTTTAAATCGTTAAGCGATAAAGTTTCAATGAGTGTATGTAAAAAGGGATTTTTGACAACCTGATTTAATCTTGAACTGATGTCATATTGTGGAATGATTTAGAGCTCATACCAGCATGCTCTGTAAGTTTTTGCTTTCTTAATATATTGCAAGGTGACGTCTGATAAACCTGCTTTTAACTCTGTCGTGCAAAGAGGAATTTTAAAGAGAACAAAAATCTTCACACAGTAAATGTCAGTGCTATCATGATAAATTAGAACCTACTGTACAGTGTATGTGGGTGCATGCGTGTATGCTTGTGTGCGACTCCAATAGAAAAAGGGGGTGGAGTCATTTCTAGGTCAAATTGTCAATATGTTAAAAGAAGTTTAGGTCCTTGATTTTATATGCGTACTAGTACAGAAGTTAAACATAGGGTAGCTTTTCCTTTGGCTCAATGCAGTTAAAATGATCTATCACAACATAGCATATTATAATGAAGCTTTACATTGATCTCCACATTGTATGGGATATGTTACTGTATAATTGATGGTATAAGGTTGGTTTAACTGGCATTAATTNTATTAATATGCTCATATTATACGAGGTAGGGGTAGGAATAGAATGTATAATTAAGTGAACCAGTAACCACATCAGTATATATATTACTATTAGCAGTGAGGTTTACTTTGATTAAATAAAGAAAAGTATAAAACATTACATACAAATTTTTATTTCCAACTTGCCATTGATTTTGTAAAAGAGTCACAAATTGGCTCAAAGGGGAGAAAAAAACTAATGTAATAAGGGAACATTTTCAGATATATATATATATATATATGTGAAATATATGCCGGCATTTAGTTGGAAGTGGCCCCTGCTACACAAAGGAATAAAATCAATTTAATCTCAAAACAGAACTAAAGTTCATCAACAAATTTAATAACTGAAATACAAAAATAGGTATGAAGAAGACCTGTTATGCTCTTCTCTTATCACCTGAATATGTGACCTTGGTTTGGCACTATTAAACCAGTTTTAATCATTAAAAATATAAAATGCTGTCACCCTTTGATAAAAGTGTCAATATGGCAGGATTGGGACCACCTTTCTTGTCTCTCCTGGTCCCTCTTCTTGTAATGGAGAATCTGATCAGGGCTCTTCAGATTTTTTTGGGGTAGGGAGACGTCTCTTTATCCTAAGATCCACAACCAGAGGGTCAGGAGGAGTGAGGACAAGAGGACCTTGATTTGTACTGATTACACTTTGACACCCAGACACAGATATGTCTGTACATATCACTGTCACCTGCATCAGTAGTTGTTTTCATTGCCATGGCCGTTTCAGAAATAACACTATAAATGGAAAACCGTTTAACCTTTTGTTTTAAAATATACAGAATTGATGAATTTTCACAAAATTCAGTTCGAGTTTGAAAATGAGCTTGTTTTATTATTTCATTTTAAAAAGTTATTATCATGCCTGGTAACATGTCTGATGTTGTTATGTTTCAGCTGGGGACTGGCTGCAGGGACCCCATGTGTACGCCCTCTATCAGCACTATGGAATGAGCACTCATGACATTGAGGTGCTCTTCGTGGCAGGCTTTGGCGCCAGTATGATCTTTGGGACTGTGGTCGGTTCATTTGCTGACAAGTAGTAAGTCTTCTGTCATGCTGTCTACTGGAACTGTACCCCTCCTCTCCCCCTCACCCCACCCCACCCCACCCCCCTCTCCCCCCTCTCTTTTTCTCTCTCTCTCCCCACTTTAATTAAGTTCAAATTGTAATGAGATTTCAGTGTAGTGTGCTCTTTTTTGAAAAGAAATTTTGGCACTGGTTAAAGAAAAATGTCATTGTGTTATGTAACATCTAAGGTATTAACCCTGATATTTACTTTATTTCTAGTGGAAGACGAGCCAACTGTATCCTGTATGGTGTTCTGTATGGTCTGGCGTGTGTCACTAAGGTAGGTTGTGCCTCTCAGTGGAGCTCCTGTCACCAGGCCTGAATATAAACAATCACCATTTCTTTTCCATTTCCAGCAGCTTTTCTATACCTAAAAATATATGGAGACTTTTAAAGTCACTGAAATATTTAGCTGTGAAGAACTACAATTTTGGTTCCCTAAAGTATACATGATTCATTAGTATTGAAGTATACCAGCATGGATATCTACTTGTAAATGCTTTTTAATATGAATATGTTATTTTGCATTTTAATCTGTTGTATACCACTTCAGTAAGTTGGGTATGATATTCTTCCAAGCCGAAGATAAAATCATTTGGACAGCCTTTTGGTAAAACTGTCAGTCTCTAATAAAGACCAAAAATTCCCAAGACCAGTAGAAATTTGTGTTCAGTTGATCCAGTTTTAAGAGCTGCCATTTTGAATTTACAGTCAGTCTGGTAAAAAGTCATTTGAAACAGCAAATATTCCATAATTGCTGGTCTGAGAATTTTCTGTTAATTTTCTGCCATCAGTGGCAGTGTGTAGGTGTAGCTTCATTCATTTATATGTTTGCTATAGCATAGTGCTATATGTTGTAACCTTCAAATTGTGCCAGTATATTGCGAAACAGATCATGGCATTTCATTTCATTTTGACATACTTGGTATATTTAAAAGTGATATATCATTCAAGTATTTTTGTGGTCATATTGTATGTATTGCTTGGTTATTTATGGATCCCTTGTTGAATAGTAACTGCTTATATTGTCTAATTTTTCCAAATAAATTTTTGAAAGGTTCTTTTTTTCAAACAACTGGCACAGATAGAAAAAAATATTTTGGATGGAAAAAACTACCCTAGTTTGAATCAGTATGTTATGCATCCAGATGGACATATTCACTCAACTGTCTGAATATTAATTTTTTGGTCTCTTTCAGCACTTTGGCAATTTCTGGATCCTTATGATTGGTCGGCTACTAGGAGGTACAGCTACTTCCATATTATATAGTGCTTTTGAATCCTGGCTGGTGTATGAACACAATAAGGTAGGCCAGGGCATAAAAGTAGTCCTTTAAGTTGAAACATTGTAAAACTATTTGATACATATTAAAACCTTGAAATACAAAGTCAATCATGCCATTGCGTTAGGTCCTGTGTGTCTTTGGTGCAGATATTCAAACACATACGTACAGGACAACTCAGTCTGGTAAGTTGAACTATTGTTTCATGCATTTTGATACTGTGGTGATATCCTCACAAAAATTTCAGCTAGTCACTGATGTAGTGATATTTTTATTACAATGAGACCATATCAAGGTCAAGTTCATTTATTCAGTATTGCAGGCTTACAGGTCGCTGCTAAATGTTGACACTATATCCTCATTTGAACTAAATTCCTGTGTTTTGGACTAATTCTGTCTTATTGTCTTTCAGAGAGGATTTAGTCAGGATCTTCTCGGAACCTTATTTTCTCACGCCACCCTGGGGAACTCCTTGGTGGCCATCTTGGCTGGATTTGTGGCACAATTCTTCGCTGACAGTTTTGGTTTTGTGTGAGTTGAGATAATGAAAATCACTAAAACAAATTCTTGCTAAAGTTTATGGTTTATGATCTGTTTGACCATAATGATTTAGGTCTTTGTTTGAAAAAAGTGTTTCTGATTCATGATAAATCTGGCACCATATTGTTACTGTTTGCAAAAATGAATGATAGTGTAAGAAAGATGATAAAGTAAGATTTGAATCAAAAAAACTGATCACTTTCTTATCAATAACTTTTTCAGATGTTTAATTGTAATGGTTTTTAATTTCAGTATCTGTGTTTGATTTTTAAATTTACATTTACAAACTGTTGTTTGAACAATGTAACAAAAAAGTTTAAATGTTAATTCCATAGTAGATACATGTAAATCCTCATTGGAGTTTGTTTTTCAAGTCCATATTATAATCATCTTTCAGAGCTCCGTTTGATGTGTCCTTGACTGTCCTGGCTATCATGTGTGTGGTGATCATATTTACCTGGTCCGAAAACTATGGGGACTCCGCTGTCAACGTGCGCACTTCATTTGTTAGTGCTATCAAATCTATCAAATCAGGTAGGATATGAGTGAACGCTACAGGCTTGGTTTATTCAGTAGTCGAGTCGCCACTCCCATAGGCCCTATAGTCGAACCCTGCAATGTTCTTTCCTGTAAACGTTTTTTGCTGAAATACATTCTTCAGGCCGAGAGAAGCAAAATTAGCTTGGTTGCTATTTCCGAGACCTTGAGCATTTTTCAATATGGCCGTCAAATTATGAGGAAAAATAGAAAAACGACCAGAAGTGGCCTGGTAAACTTTATTGACAGCTTTTTTGAACGTGTATCCTATCAGGAGAGCACAACAGTACAAGTGAATACGCTTTAGCGCGTACCACCTAGCAAAAAAACAAAATGGCCGCAAAACATAAGGCAGAAAATGATAAAAGCTGCAGAATCAGTTTGTTTTTTGCATATTTATTTTTATTAAAACCATATCCCCTTTTTATATTTATGTTAATTATAATATTTTGTCAGTCATGACCCGAAACTCTTGGAATAAGCTTATCTGACAGTTCAATAGCCCCCCAAGAGTCTGTTTGCTTCTTCCCCGGGTCCCATAGTCAAATACTTAAAATGTTATTCCCGAATTTTTAAAAAGAATTTAACACTTTGGGGGTATAAAAGCCAATTTAATTTGGGCTTTCTTGGCAGAGGCTAGATATGGAACATTGATCAATTTTCAAAATTCAAGATGGCCGTCAATAATATAAAATTATATTATAATATCATTATATTATAAATAAATAATTATGTAACATAGCAAAGAGTCGGGTTTAAAACATGCCCCCAAAAAAGGTAAAAAAGCAGTTAAATTACGTTTTAAACTGATAATTCGGCGTATAATAAAATATATCCAACCCTGTTATTTATTGACAAAGTGTACTTGTAAGGTGCAGTTATACTAAGACTCTATAAAAGAGGATCATTGATAGGACTGACCATTACGTAAGTTCTCTTTTTAATACAGAAAGTTTATCAAGGGCCAACAGGGGGTTCTGCAGGAATTTGGGCACAGGGAGTCCAAAATGTTAATCTGCAATCGGGACTCTTATATTTACATGGAGTCCAACCAAGTCCGTTGGTGGGAACGGGGGGTGGGAGGGGGGTGAGTGTAATTTAATTTAACTTTTGTCAAAATATTAACCTTATTATTTTTTTCGTTTTTGTTTTTATATTGATCATACCTTAATATTTTAATTTTATATCTTTATCATAACTTTCAGTATGTACATAAAATTAAGCTTTAAAACTTCCCATTCTTTTTATTGAGATTGGCACGTGTAAGAATATTTCATCAGTATATAACAGCATTTCTAGTTTTTCTTATAACTGCACTTTTTCGCTTTACATTTTAAAGAATCAATAAGCAAAACATCTTACAAATCTTTTGGTTATAAATGTATACTGACAGCCATTAAAATCTTTGAGGCCATATTTTTCAAAATAATTGTTATTTTGAAGCTCTAAACTGGATTATTTTCATACGAATCATTTGTTTAGGACATTGGTATACAGAACCGAAAATCTTAAGTTTCATGAATAGTTTCAAAACAAAAATGGCACCAGTCCAACACAAAGTCACAAAGGTCAATAGCTGATACAATTTCCGCTTGCTTCGATGCAGGCGGCGATCTGTTGGCGCATGCTCGGGCAATAAATGTGGATGGGATGGTGTCATGTGGAATCCTATTCCAGCCTTGTCGTAGTGCCTCGATCAGCTGCTGCCTTGGCCAACGGACGGCCAAGATATATGTAGTACCAGATGTATTCAATCGGATTCATATCCGGAAAATGGACAGGCCGGGGTAGGACATCCACCTTTGGGACTCCAGATACACTTGGATCATTTGTGCCGAATGTGAACGGGTCTTGTCCTGTTTGGAAACGGTGGTATCAGTTTTCTGCTGCATGAACGAGGTTATGTGAGGTTGCAGGATCTGATCTATGTAGTGATGAGCAGTTACTGGTATGTTGCCATCAACGACCACCATCGGCTGACCGCCAGCAAGTGTCGACGCACAGTGGGGCTGCTGCTCCGGTTGTTGTTCCTGCTGGGTGCCTCTTGTGCTGTAAGACTGGCATGGCGAAACTGGTCCCGTAGCTGATGCAACCTGGTGTAGCGATCCCAGTCTGGAGTTGACACTCTCTCGCCCTGGCTGCGGTATATCGCTAACAGAGCCAGGCATGTTGTAGCATTCAACCAGGTTCCTGATTGTGGGTTGGGAACAGCCCATACATTATAGGTCAAATCAGACTCCCCTCACACCCAGTGCCCAGAGATGTACGTTGTTCACATGATAGACATGACATGATTCCGTTCACTGGACTAACAACATGGGTGGCCGGGTGGCCTTTTTCGGGCCTTTATAGGCCTCCAAAACCAATCCTCAAAATGTGCAGATGCCCACTGAGTATTGTTCAATGTGTATTTGGTCCATTTTTGCAAAAAAAAAAAGCTTACCCATGCGCAATGAACCATGGCAACATGACAACTCATCATTATCTTAACTACCCGAGCACTAAGTCATCAATAAATGCACAATGAATAATTACATCTACCCTACAAGTAGAAAAATGCATACATTACTGTCTCAAAGCTTCCATTATCTGTAAGTATATATTGGCAAAAACAACATTTCAAATACATGATGTTGATGGATAGCCCTCGCATATCCCCGTACTATGTCCTGTGTCCAGAATATAGCTGACCTCATGGGCCCTAACCTCTGGGTTTGTATACCCCTGCTTGGTTCTCTGTTATTTATAATAAAATTCATTACAAAACAACAAAAATGCCTTTACCCATAGCTGTTAAAACATTTAAAAAGTTTACAAAAAAAAAAGGATAAGAATAATCCAACCTGAAGAAAACGATTTGACGCCTTTTTTTATTTCAAAATGATTTAGTTTACACATACTAGAATGATAATACTTTCATTAATTTTTGATTTAGAATGAAAAACTAGTTGTCAGGACTGAGATATCCGCAATCAATGTTTGGTTTGATCATAAAGCAGCATTGACGAACATATTGGTTTTCGTTTTTCGTATCATTTAACCTAAAAATATGTTTTGTGTGCTGTGTCTTGAACGCAGGTATATCGTTTTTCATTTTATATATGTATTTATATTTGTTCCAGTTAAAGTATATTTCAGTTAAAAGCCTTGTAGTTTTACAGTTGTTTCTTTGCCCTTCCATTATGTTTTGGAGGCCATTTTTATTAAAATAACTTGCAAAATGAAATAAATGATCGCACTTTGCATGGATATAAATATAAATATGCAATGATGAACAATGGAGTGAAGCATTAATTTTTTATTTGAATGAATGGCTCTCGCTATTCACATAACAAATTGACGGCCATCTTGAATTTTGAAAAATTGTAAATATCTCGTAATATAAGCTTCTCTAAGTTTTGTAACCCAGATGAAACAATTTCTTTTAAAAAAGCTTGCAAGATATAACATAGCAAGCTTTGACTATGGGGCTCGTCGGAGTGGCAAATGGACTCTCAGGAGATGGCACCGTCTGCCACCATCTGATTAATGTCAAATAAGCAGTTTCTGAGAGTTTAGGATCATGACTATCAAATTATCATAATGGACATAAATAGAAAAGGCGGAAATGTTTTTAATAAGACTTAATTTGCAAAAAAACGAACTTGTTTTGCAGCTGTTTTTACTTTCTGCCATATGTTTTGACGGCCATTTTGGCTTTTTTGCCACATGTAACGGGATTAAGTGTATTCACTAGTACTGTTGTGCTCTCCTGATAGGATACACGTTCAAAAAAGCTGTCAATAAAGTTTACCCGGCGACATCTGCTCGTTTTTCTATTTTTTTCTCATAAATTGACGGCCATATTGAAAAATGCTCAAGGTCTCGGAAATAGCAACCAAGCTAATTTTGCTTCTCTCGATCTAAAGAATGCATTTCAGCGAAAAAAGTTTACAGGAAAAAACATTGCAGGGTTAGCGTTCTGGCTACTCGACTACAGAGAGAATATCTATTTACTGACTTGAAGTGAAGATTAAGTGAATATAATAAGCAGTATAGGTATTTAATTATTATTATTTTTTTTATTTATTTATTTATTTTTTTGGTATAATTATATTGTTTTTCATCAAACTTGAGATGATTCATCTCAACTGGCTATCTAACAACTTTCAGTTTATAATTAAAACAAACAGCATTCTAATTTATCCTTCCCTTCAGACCGCAAGATATTATGCCTGGGTGTGATCCAGTCTCTCTTTGAGGGATCCATGTATACCTTTGTCCTGGAGTGGACACCTGCACTGACCCCTGTGGCCACAACAGCATCCAGTGTGGCCAGCAGGAGGCTCCTGGAGGAGGAAGACGTCACCGTAGAGGGGCACAGAGGGGCTATACCACATGGGTATATCTTTGCAGCATTTATGGTAAGGTCCCCCATGGTTATTTTTGAGGGCAATTATTTTTATTTGTTTTAAGTTATATTTGAAGCAAGCGTAGATTCCCAATAATGCATGTGAAAAAATTTCTACTAGATTTTCTTCTTCAAATTTCTTGATTTCTTTTTGTAAATTGACCTACTTATCTGTCCCTAAAGTTTGTAAAATTCGATCAAACTAGTTATGTATGGCACTGCTGCTTATGCTGTTATTCAACAGTTGGTAATATATTTCAGTCTTACTGCTTGGTGGTACTGCTCTTTATAAGTATGAGTGATCCATATTCATCATTAATTGTGGAAAAACCATTTGCTTTAATCACAAACATATTTATGAATGCTGTGTGCTTGATTATGTCACAAATAAAGATTTGTGGAAACTTCACATTTCTAGCTGTAACACTTGCTGATGTCGGTTTCTTTATTTCAGATTGCTATTATGATTGGGTCATCTCTATTTAAGATACTATGTAGATGGACCTCCATTGAGTCATTCATGAGGTATGTTTTTTATCTCTCTTGTTTTGAATGGCTATTCCATGGCATTGGCTTTTGTTTTTATTTAATGTAAGGTGTGGCAAAATTAACCGAGGGGCAAGTTGTTACTGAGTGTAAAATGGTTTGGAATTGCCTGTATCAGTACATGTCATTGTAAGTGTCCTTTTTCTGACTTGTTTAATGCTGCTAATTTTAATGCAATTTTTAATTAAAATTTGAGTGGAAAATCTTCTTTATCAATACAAGACATAATCATTTGGCTATTAGTATATAATAATTGTTCTGTATAATTTTTTTCTAATTTCAGACCTGTGTTATTCATATCAGCTGTAGCACTGTGTACACCTATAGTGTGCCCGGGGGTAAGTGTGTTACTAGCAAGTCCAGTTCTTTCCCTCTCCTCTCTCAGGAACAGCTTTAATATTTAGAAATATTTTAGAAAGATCCATGTGCTTACATTCTATGATAGACATCTAAAATCTTCAGCTAGTACAAGAGCGATATTGATTAGGATTATTATCAATTACAAAGGATAGCGTCATGCTGAAGGAATTTATGATTCCAATTACATTGCAATGCTTGCTTTTGCAGTTTTCATATTTATAGAAAAAGGCTGTTGAAACTGTAACTGCAATAAAATATGGCGCTTTTGCTCAAAATTAGGTTGACATCACATGTACTAATTACTGATATAATGCTGTTCGTATCCTATTTTACAAAGCTAATACATTTTCTTATTCTAGAACCAGCTTGTAATCTTCATTGGTTTCCTGGTATTTGAGGTGTGTGTGGGGTTGTTCTGGCCCTCCCTGGGGACTATGAGGGGGAAGTATGTCCCTGAGGAGAGTAAGTACATGTGGACGAATAATAGTTATGCTTTGGTCACTTTATAGACTGTTTGGTTCATTTATTGTGTGTTTGTTGGTGTCAAGTTTTCAGTTTAAGATTTTATAATGATTGAAGAAAAAATCGACATCAACTTCTTAGTTTTTCAGACAAAGAAAGTTATGTTTCTACTCTTTTTCCATCCCCAGCTCGTGCTACTATAATGAACTGTTTCCGGATCCCGCTGAATCTCATTGTAGTTATTATATTAGTCCAGGTAAGTAACTGCTGATCTAGGTGAGTCAGTAATAGTCCAGTTTGAGAATATAGTTGATTCAGAACCTCCATAATGCAAACTCAGGTCTTATCAAATTTGAGATAAATTTCAGTATGTGTCAGACAGTCTTCAGTTAATTTTCTTGATTGGTTCTTTGCTTATTCATTTTCATATAATTTTATGTTAAGATTTATAGCTAGAGTAAAAATTTTTCATTACTTTTAACAAATCTTTAATTTGATGAAAATTTGTTTTTATGGTGGAAAATTATTGAAAAAGAAAGTCATGTTGATAGTGATATTCAGTGTTTGCTCTGGCCATATTGGTATTAACTGCACTATAATGATTATGTTTCAGAACCTGAGGATGGACTTGATATTCAAGTGTTGTGTGATGTTTCTTCTGTGTGCTTGTCTCAGTCAGCATGTATTATATAGGTAAGTATAGGGGGTACACGCTCCAGAGACAGGCACATACACTCACATGTAAGCATGCACGTGTGAACATGCATATTACACAGAGTATAGTACATATACACAAAACATTGCACGCACACACACACACACACAGTATAGTATTGCATGCACACACACACACACACACACACACACACACACACAAATGTGCACACACAGACAAGCACACACACACACACAGTATAACCTATAAACACATGTAGTATTGCATGCACACACACACACACACAAGCACACACACACACACACACAGGGTTACACCATCACATATGATAGCATGCAAGTATATTTCTGTGGCTGCTTCTGTGCAATTTCTTTCTTACATTAAACCAGAGTTAGTGGCCCATCCTCATGCATGCTAGACCTGTAGAGCATTTTATTATTTTTACCAGAGGATTGAGATAATTCACTTTGTCCATGCAAAATGTATGAACTTTTTTGTTTAGAATGCTTCTGATTAATTAACATTTTAAAAACATAAAATTGAGATTTGGCAATTTTTTTCACATAGTTAGCTAAAACAAATTTCATTCTCAAGTGAGGCGGCCCAGAGCTCCATTTCAATATGAAATTGTCAAAATTGGTCTAAACTTTGAGGCTAAAAATTGTAGCCAAATTTGACACTGAACACTAATTATAGCCCTTGCAGTATAAAGTGGGGTATTTGAGCTGATCACAAAGTTTTTGAAAATTATAATGTTAGAAATGACATTTGAGTCCTAGAAATTTATAAGATTAACCTGAAGTTAGATATTATCAGACTTTTAGAAATTCAACTCTTAGACTAGTTGTTCTGTGAGCGGAGATCCATGCATGTGTTGGTGCGTATCCTTAGCAAACCTTGAAATGAACAAGATTGACAGCTCAGTTTATCCCTATGGTTGGGGAAACTTTGACGATTCACTTCTCTTTTTTCTTTTCTGTCACCTTTTCTAATCCTATCTCATATAGATGTAGTTGCTTGCAGAGAGATGGGTGTGGGTAGCGTAGACAATCTAGCATGGCTATTATTATAAATATCCACAAATTTCTGAAATCCACTTTTGTGCAAATATTTACGTTGTGGCAGGGGTGGAAGATAGGACCCCCCCCCCCCTACTGCCCTTCCTATTTTTCTTTAATATCCTGTGCTTTTGAAACTTTGGCTTTTTATTTATCCACTTTGCTTCCCTTTTGCTTGCAGAACTTGTATCCATGCCTTGCTTTTCCGCTGGCACATTGTTAAATTAAAGAACATGCTTGATAGACAGTTTGCAGCTGTTTACATGAGAACCGAACTGGATTATGAAGTATTTGAATACTAGTTTAAGTGTGTCATATAAAGAATCTTTTTAGTCAATTTTTCTGGAGAATTATAAAATTCTGCTTGTCAATGAATTATGTATGTAACATCTTGACAGTACCAGCATTTAATATATATTTGGTGGTAAAGAGTTTATGTAGTGTGTTTGAAAAAATTTTTCCTTTTCATGAGATATACTGTAACAATGATTTTGTACAATTTGGCACTGGAATTACAGGAATTACTGTGGCAGTATGTATTCTACAAACTGATCTTTATAGCAATCTTTAATCTTTTAGCATTTCTAGGAAAGCCTAATTCAGCATGCTGGATCAGTTCAGGGATGTTTGGCTTAGGAAAGTTCTTTAGAAACTGTAGAAAGTTTTTTTTTTTTTTTTTTTTTTTGCCAGACAGCAGACTTCTGACCTGCTGGAAGAGTATTGAGATAAAAGAATTGGGCAATTAAAGCTTTTGTAGATACTGAATAGCAAATGATTAAAAATAGATGGGAAAATCTGTTGGTGCTTTGCTTAAAGGGATGGCGGACAAGGAGGATGCCAGTTTTTTCCCTCTTCATTGCTTCCCCCATTTTATCATGATGTGTTCCTACTTATCTTGTTACAGACTAGTATTACAGCACACAAGTGCTGAGCAGCAGACGTCCAGTGCCGGGATTTTATGACCTTGACCCTTATGACCTTGACCTTCACTGGTGTAACAGGTGCTTATCTTCTGCTTCTCATTTCTTCTATTTCATTGTTGTCAGTTGTCTGCATGGAAAATGGGGTTGAAATATTTCATGTCTGTCGCGTTGTTATATAAAACTGCTCAGATTAGCAGTGAAAATGGACCTCGAATATTTTATAGTACACAGCTAAGAAAAGCACTTGATCTGAAAGCCCAGACTTTTGCCAAGGCTGCTCCGTTCTCATTATTAATTAATCAATTGATTAGAAAATTGAGGTAATTTATTATCTATATAATGAATCACCACTTAAAAAATCTCATTGGTTCTAAGTTTATTTCTGACAAATTTTATCTGCCCCTTAACTGTTTGGCTGTTCACTAACAAATTTTAAACCATCAAAGGCAAAAACATAATCTCCTTGGTAGAGGCAATAATTGGTATTGCTTTTTGGTTTCAGGATCATTTTCAAGTTTGTACTGCTTTAAACAAACCTGTATGTTTAAAACTGTTGTTTTTATAGGGTGCATCATTGCAGGTAATTGTTGAACAATATATTTATAATGTATGAGCTCACAGGACAACAAGTTTTATATCTTAAGACGTGCTCACATCAGTATTAGGTTGTGTGTGTCACAGATATGGCCAATGGGCACACAATTGGCTTAAGACTACATATACCATATCATTGTTGAACATCTTAAAAGCTGCTTTGTAGAATATTTTCTCTCGAGTCTTTTTGATAGGATTGTTAGTGGTAACAGTAATCATTTTCTTCAACTAGAGGCCATATGTGTTGATATTGAAGAAAGAGGTTACTGTTAAGATTGTTGTACGTGTATGCATCTTTTGATTAAAAAAAAAATTTTTTTGGGGGGGAGGGTTCTTATTGTACTCTTATGTGGTTGTTCACACAGCAAGAATTTGTTTGTTTTTTTCTTTTAAAACACTTTTGTAAACATATGCAAGCATGTAGGTACATGTACACACACACACACACACGCACGCACGCACAGACACAGGCACTGTGTCAGTAATATACAGCCAGAGAACCAGATGGAAGCTGGCCAGATTGTTTGTGTATTGAAATGCTGGGCTTATGGCAACTAATTTTATACTGGGGTACAGGAGTCCTTAATTTTGTGCGTTTGTGCTCCCAAATCTAAAGCTCATGTTAGCCAACTGCAATTGTCATTTATGAGGCCTGTTAATGTTATTCATTGACTGTCATGGACTCATGGTATTAAATGATGTTATTTATATATTTTCAGAGATAGTTTAAATGTGAGCAAAGCTCTCCCTGAAACCAGTGGTGAAGCCAGCAGACAAGATGCAGGCAAGATGCCTTTGATCAAAGAAGACATGGTGGAAGCAAATGGCAATGAGGATGATGATCAGAACTAATGAGAAGAAGACAAAATGACTTATTTTAGGAGGTGGTTGTCAACTCAAAGTGTTGACTCTTATTTTGACTGTGAATTCTCACTGGTTTATTGTGATTAAGTTTTTAATGATACGATATTTCTCTTTATGTGGAATTCTTATGGTAATGAATAATTTCTCTCTGATTTTCAAGTGGTATTCTATGTTAGTTAATCTATTTTTATTTTATTTTTGTGGGGATGACAATGTGGATGCTGCCAGCAAAATATATTTACCCAAGCTAGCCTTGAGTCAAGTCTTGAAACTTTGCATAAATTCAAGCAAGATTTTATGAGGCTTGGAAGAGAGTGGGTACAGAAACGTTGAGAGGCAAGCAATTGTGGTACAGCAATGAAAAAATGACAATTTACACACAAATATTTTTATCGTTGTTTCCTCTGGAGATTTGCAGAATTACAGCTTTGCGTGCTCAAAACGTGGTAAGAAGTCACCATGCTTTGTGTTTTACTTATGTATTGTTTTCTAGGGCAACATTCCTGGAATATTAAAGGGATAATAATTCCTCATTTTGGTGGGAGAAGTGCCATAAAACAGATTTTCCTGGGATAAATGATGATGGCATGCACAAATTTCAGAATAACTGCTTTTACCACCTTGGTGGTGGTAAAATGGAATTTATTATATTTCAAGGTTCTGTTTTCAGTGCATTTATTGTGGAATTTTGAATCTTGTATGAAGAATTGTTATCCCTTTAAGTTTCACCCTTATCACTAAAAAGTTAACTTCACAGGGATGCTGGGATACTTTCTAGTGTCACTTATCATTCACTAAATAATTTGATACTTGCAAAATTACATAGAGGCATTCTGGTGAAGAGTTATTAAACAGAGTAACATGGTAAGAGTAGGAAAAAAGCCAGTTTTAACACAATTTGGACATGAGATGGTTATGTCACTTGTTGGTCTTATCTCTAATTTTGTGAAGGCAATCACTCATTTTAATTCTGTGCTTTGACTTTGGCATGACTCCATAAGGTGTATACAATGGCTTCAAGCCTGAAATGGGTTGCTTCAGAAAAAACAGAGGACTGAACTGGTAGACTGTGGTTTTGAAACCATGAGGTAGTGAGTAATGCATTAAGCCATTACTCGTTTCTGACATTAGAAATAATTTTAATTTATGTTTAACATACTATTCTGTACATTTTACTAATTTTGACGAAGATTAGTATTACATACTTCAGTGCATTCCATAAACAATACAGAGAAAAGAATTGTGATTAATTAAATATATGTTCACATATAGGATGTAATACCTATTGTGAAAATACTGTAAATGAAAACAAATTGGAACATGGTAGTCTGTGAAATGTGTAAAGTTAAGTAATTCTATGATACACAGAGGTGGCGAGAGACAAGTTTTTAGTAATATTTAATGGTATTTCTTTACTTTCCGGTGAAAAGAACTTGGTCATATCTTAAAATGAAGACAATGTGTAGTTATGCTATTGGAAGGTTCTTTTTATTTTTTCATGGTGGTTTTTATAATAAATGTATTTTTGCTTTTAGGTAGGGTTCTGATTTTATAACCCTCTATTTTATTTTTCTTTACCATTAAAAACTTCTCTCATTGCAAAATACTTTATTGAAGGCATTGATTTTATATATATTCAAGGTAACATGCAGTTACGCAACTTGCAATTAAATACCACTCTTTTCTGTCTATTCACATCTGTCTGATGAAGGCCTACATCCAAGTTAACCATAAGCTAACGGTATGAAAATAGCTTCTTATAATTCTACTTTCTTGGCTCTGAGCTATTAAATAGCTGCCTCTGTCCTGTCCTCTTATGTGTACATTTTCCCTGAAATGTCTCATTTTACCAGTCCTTATACCGTTAAGGTACTTTCCACCCTAGTAACTTCAATATCTGCAATTTAACTGTAATGAACAAAGTGAAAAAAGCACATTTTTGAAATATTTTGTAAAAAATGTACGTGATATAAATTGACAATATTTTTGACATACAGTAATTAATATGTGATGCGTTATGTTCAAGTGTTCTCACTCCCTGACATTAAATTTTATTAATCCTAAAAAGAAAGGACATTGAGCACACTCGTCAAATTTGAAATTTGATTAATTCTGTAAACATTTATCCCTGCTACTTGAAAGGCATAATTTTAACAGAAATCTTTCTACTTTAAAGCAAAATACAGCTTTATAAACAGAATGAGATAGTCCAATGCCACCAACATGAATACTGTTACCGTAGCTGTTTGCGTACTTTACAATGCATAACGCCACTTCATAAATTTTTCAAATTAATTAACTAATTGGTAGCACTAACCCAGAAACAAAATTAATACAGATCCTACAAATTCATTTTTACATAACTCTAAGACTTCCAGCACTACAAGTACTCTCCAAAACAGCCCATTCCACAGCATATTAAATGGAACATGGCACTGACTTCAATATATCAACATTTATTATTTTTTTTCAAAGAGTGAGGCCTCCATTCATCCTGTATTTGAAGGACAACGTATAAAATATTCAACTTCTTTGCCTTAATCAGTCATGATAAAATGATAATTCTCCTAAAATGTTTACTTGTTAACAATGTTGTACACCAACCATGGACCAGTGAGGGCAAGTGTAGAGGAAATACCAGGTTGAGATTCTGAAAAAAATGCCATATTTCATGACTTTATCAGTGTCTTTAACTCTAACTTATAAGCTTATAATAATCAAACAGGTCTGTCTTCTGGCAGTATTTTGTTTACGCCCCAGTCTCAAGATTGGGATTGGGTCACCCCTATTTACATGACATCTCCTTGGATTGCTACAGATCTTCAATCTCTTGTAAGACCTGAAGTTAAAGAGCAGAATAAAGGCATGCATATTAAATCATTTGCTTTAGTTCGTTTCAGAATAACTTGTAAAGAATTGTCTTAAGAGACCGTTTTTAGAATGTATTTCTTAGTATTTAGTTATTGAAGTGGGGAAGATTATTGAGACATCAAAATATTACATGAAACACATCAACTTTTAAATACCAGGATCTGTTTTTTTTTTAAGTGGTACAATACAGTAATACTACTAACTTACCTCTTGCATGGTAGGACGAAGTTTCTTTTTGTAATTGAGGCAGTTAACTGCTGTGCTAAATAAGCTATTAAACATGCTCTCTGGCCATTCTCCTGCCGTTCTGTCAGCCAGCTCAAGGGCGTTCTCCCTGGAATAGTTTTCATCCACATAGGAGGCCTAAAAATATCAATAAATATAATAAACTAACTTCCAACTCTCTCTCTCTCTCTCTCTCTCTCTCTCTCTCTCTCTCTCTCTCTCTCTCTCTCTCTCTCTCTGTTTGGGGGGGGGGGGGGGGGGGGG